CCCTCCCCGTCACGTCAATCACGCCCGTCAGGCCTGTATTCATCCGCGAGAGACCGATGCCCCAGCCGCAAAAGAGGTACTACCGCCGCTACGTCATGGACCGCTGGGGCGGCATCCACAAGCGCCCGCCGCTGCCGTTGCCGCCGACGCGCGACTTGCTCTGTAAGTTCATGGAGGAAGACGACGAGTCCGACTGAAATTGCCTACCAGAGAGAATGGTCAGGAATATGGAGAAAAATCACCAGGAAAATTACCAGGAGAATAATTGCCGAGAGAGAGAGTGGGGCTGGTCCCCCGTGTTATGCTTATATATTCAATGTCACGTGAGTTTTGATTAATCCGGTCGTAGGCAAGTTTGGTTAGATTTTGTGGAGTGGTCTCGGCAATTGCCGATACTCACGGTAAAACGCGACCACACTCGCAAATGGTAATGGCAGTGGTTAGGGTCACAGTGTCTCCCAAGACAATAGTCACCTGAAACAATGATCACCTGAGCCGAGTGTCAATGGTGCTAAGCACCACGATAATTTCTAGAGACATCGAGCCTATTGTTGGCCGTGACGGGATTGTCATGTCAATCAATTTAGGCTGACCACCTCGGACTAAAAAGTAATAACCAGCCTGGTGACACCGGTGACATGTATACCCGTGTTCATCCGATTAGACTGAGAACCCCATTGTAGACTGAGTATGACTCAAGCATCGATTACCCTATTCAGCGATGGCACGTGACGAGTATGTCGATGTTATTCTACACCGTTTTCCTTTTCCATTCATTCGTAATAAATAAAGAACCAGTCTTACAACTAAAACATACCGCTTACAACTTTTCGGCGGTGATGGGGCGGCCGGCGGTGACGACGTCGTCGTAGCACAAGGTGGTGACAAAGTCGTTGTAGTGCTCACCGAGGGCTTCAGGGGCGAAGATCTCCAAAGCACGCTTGTACTTGTTGCCGGCAGGAGCGGCCTTGGCCAACTTCTGGTACTCTTCGTCCAAGAGCTTCTTGACGTAGGCCTTGTCGATCTTCTTGCCGTCGTCGGTGGTGGCGCCGTGGGTGACCCATTGCCACAATTGCGAGCGCGACACTTCGGCGGTGGCGGCGTCTTCCATCAAGTAGTTGATGGGGACACAGCCAATGTCTCTCAACCACGCCTCGACGTAGCCAAGACCAATGATGATGTTGGCTCTGATCCCGGCCTCGGTGATCTTACCGCCAGCAATGTGGGGCGACAACAAGTCGCGGGCGCTGATGTTGCGGTAAGGGGTCTTGGGGGGAGTGTGGATCTGGTTGGGGCCCTTCATGTACTCGTTGAACACTTCGAGAACGATGGGGACAAGACCGGGGTGGGCCACCCAGCACGAGTCGCACCCGGCGGTGACTTCTCTGATCTTGTCGGCTCTGACACCGTCAAGCACCTTCTTGTTGGCGGCTTCGTCGTCCTTTCTGGGGATTTGCGCCGACATACCACCCAAAGCGTGGACACCACGCTTGTGGCAGGTTTGCACGAGCAAGTGGACGTACAGCGACATGAAGGGGGCGGCCATGGTCACCTGCGATCTGTCGGGGAGGACAAATTCGGGGTGGTTTCTCAACGACTTGATGTAGGAGAAGATGTAGTCCCAACGGCCACAGTTCAAACCAGCGGAGTAGTCTCTCAACTGGTAGATGATTTCGTCCATTTGGAAGGCGGCGGGCAAAGTCTCAATAAGCACCGAGGCTCTGATGGTACCGCGGGTCAACCCGACGTAGTCTTCGGAGAACTTGAAGATGTTCGACCACAACTTGGCTTCCAAGTGGTGTTGCATCTTGGGCAAGTAGTAGGCGTTGGGGAAACCTTGTTCCTTCAAGTACTTCCAGTTGTTGAAGAAGTAGATGGCAAAGTCAAAAATACCACCAGACACGGGCTCGCCGTTGATGAGCACGTGCTTTTCGTCCAAGTGCCACCCACGGGGACGGACAATCAAAGTAGGGATGCGTTGTTCGGTGGTGATCTTGTAGGTCTTCGAGCCCAGCGACGCGGTCAACAGTCTCTTCAACGCCTGTTGCATGTTGATTTGACCGTTGACGACGTTGGCCCAGGCGGGGGTCATCGAGTCTTCGAAATCGGCCATGTAGCAAGCAGTGCCAGAGTTGCAGGCGTTAATCACCATCTTGGCGTCACCAGCGGGACCGGTGATTTCACATCTCCGGTCAATCAAACCCTCGGCCAACGAGGGCCCTTGCCAAGTGGGGTCGTCTCTGATGTACTTAGTCTCAGGGAGGAAGTCGGGCAACTTGCCGGCGTCAAACTCCTTTTGGATCAAGTTACGGTTGTTCAACAATTCCAAACGGACGTGGTTGAAGTTCTGGTGCAACAAGGTGACGAACGCCAACGCCTCCGCCGAGAACAACGGCTTCGCTTCCTGGGGGATCAGGCCGACGATCTGGAGGTCGGAGCCCTTGAGCTTTTGCTGCGCCGTGGGGAAGGGGTTCTTCAATTGTTGCGACATAATTGAGGGTATACTTTTCAGAAAAATCAGGCCGTCGGCAGCGGAGGGTGCAATTTATATTGCTTCAAGGGGATTATGAGTAATTTGGGGGGGGCAGACGCCCTCCTGCACAGAGCCAAAGTCCGGGGTACCCTATATCCTCGGAAGCCCCGAGTCAAAAACGACGGCTCCGAAGCGGCCAACGCCACCAACACAGCGATAAAACGACCAATTTGACCCCAATTTCAATGAAAGATATATGAAAATATTCGTTATCAAATATATCATGTCCCTGTCCTTGACCGAGGGCGCCGACACCACAATTTGGGGTGGCATTCCACACTTTTCACCGGGCCCCGCGACTCAGCGGGCGACTACGAGTCAACCCTCCTTTTGCCCGGGGCAAGGCGCATGTGACCCCCAGCGTTATCAGCCAATCACTAGCGCCCGCCGTCATGGCCCAAAGGAAGTACCACCCACCCTGCACAATTACACTTTCATCACGTGGACAAACTACGTGGACATACTTGTCCATGCCCACCTACTATACCCCAGTGCCTGCCGGTAAACCCGAGGTCTCAGAAACAGCTCCTCCCCCAAAAGCCAATCGCCGAGACCACCCCATTTTTTTATGGTCAGGTAGCAATTGAACCATAAAGAAAGAAAACCTACAATTAATGACACAATAATCGAGGAGTCGATGCCTAACGAATCTTATGAAACCGTAGGCGAGCGATTGTGTTGACGACGTCATCGTCAGTGGTCGCCTCGATTCGGCGAGTCACTGCCAGGTACAAAAAAAACCACGCTTATCGCTTGGAGTTTTTCGCGTGGTGGTTATCTTTCTGTAGCTCTCTGTAAGCGTGCTGATGATTGTATGGTGCAGCAAAAGGGGTGATTCGGACTTCTGTAGAATATTTGTAAAAAAAGGGGACTTGCGGGTGCGATTGCCACTAAACCTAAGAATGACCATTGCCACCTATTTCTAGTCCGCATTGACTCGGAACGCCTTACTAAGCGCTTGAATCGACTAAGTAATCGTACAGTGTTTGATATACTATATACGTAATGTGTTTGTTTGTAGTGTTTGTTTGTAGAGGACTACAGCGAGCACAGACATTGGAGCATGGCCTGGCCGTCTTTATCGCCCTGGACCATCCACAGCTGTTCCACATCCTTCAATTCGTCGCCCCATTGCGACGCGTCGTAAGGGTTCAGCGACATCTTCTGGAGCTTCTCCAAGTAGTGTAAATCGGTACCCTGGCTTTCCTCGGTCTTTTCAATCACTTCGTCGAGGATCCACCCGCGGGGGAGGAATAACGGGTTAGCCTGAGCTTGACGATTAACAAAGTCAGGGTCAATGTCTTGTTGCTTGACGATGTAGGAGCGGTAAGCCGCAAGCCACTCAGTGGCCAACGACGTAAGCTCCACTTCCTCAGCGGAGTCCAAATGGTCTTCAATCTCATCGATTAACGCCTTAGCCACCGTAGCAGCATCCTCAATCGGATAGTGCTTGGCTAATTGGAGGAAGAACTTGTTGTAGTCACACTGTAACCGGAAGAGAAGCTGGAGCAACGGCGCCACAAGCACCTGGTGGAAGTGGTCGATATCCGAGTAATCAATGAGCTTATGCGAGAGACCTAACCGGTCGAAAAATCCTTCCACATAGGACTTGGTGAAGGCGTACTGGTACAATTCACCCCCGGCCTCGATGACCTTAGTGGCTCGACTCACCACTTCGTCCTCGTGGTCTTTAGCCAGCCAGTCAGGGTTGTCACAATTCTCTGGACCTGCCCCTAAGAGCTCAGCGAGATCTTCGCCAAGACGAGTCAAGTTCCACCAGATCGCCGTCGGCAGGTTTTTGTACAGGTAGCGTAAGTCGTGGTCCTCCAGGTTCGGGGTATAGTTGGGGTTGAACTTGTCCATGATCAGGAAGGGGCCAAAGTCCATCAGCAACCCCACGATCAGGGTGTTATCGGTGTTGAGCACCCCGTTCAAAAACCCATACACTTGCCAGCGAGCGGCGGTGTAGGCGTTGCGAGCCACCACTTCCAAGTACATTTTATCATACGTAGAAAGGGTTGACGGTGCCGCTTTAAGGTCGGCAAGCGGTTTAAGCTTGTCAAACTCGCTAAACTCATTTTGGAATAGGTCGTCAATGACGTAATTAGCGAGTAAACGACATCCTTTACGGTCGCCACGCGAGCGACAAAGGTCAAAACTGCCTAAACGGACCCACAGCTCAGCGAAACGAGCGACAATGGCACACTTCTCCGCCCGGTACCGTTGGGCATATGTTTGCGGCAAGTAAGTAAGCAGCAACGCTCGAGTGGTAGGGATCCCCAACGCGTTTAAATGCTCACTGATAATGTACTCACGAATCAGGGAACGAAGCACCGCTTTGCCATCAGCAAACCTCAGATAGGGAGTTTTACCCGCCCCTTTCAATTGGAGTTCATACACGGCGCGTTGCTTCAACGCTTCCAGAGCCAGTGGCTGAGACTTAGGGATATCAAATAAGTTGACCACGCGTCCGTCACCAAGCTGGCCGGCAAATTGACCGAACTGGTAGCCGGCATAAGCCTGGGCCCATGGCGGCGGTAATTGTGACGCGTGTTCTTGTTGATCGAGCCACGCCTCGCCCAGCACCACCAGCTGAAACTCGACCTGAGACACCTGGGCGGGGTCGAGGCCTAAGTCCGCCATGGCACGAGGGTTCAGCATCAAGTACACATATTGTTTTCTCGGTTCGGGTAAGGCGTAGGAGTAGTGGCCATCGGGGACGATCCTCGGGGTATGGGTCAAATTGTCCTGATTGGCCCGGGCGGCTTCGGGCGTATTGAGTCTGGGGTCGGGCGTGAGCCGGAGGAACGACGAGGGGACAGCGACATCACGGAGGGTGCGACTCATGGCTCGTCTCATGAAATAGGCGTTGGTAGGATATATGGAGAACGGCGTTACTCAATATTGCCACTAGCTGCTAAGTGAGGCTTATCTCCTGCATATAGTTATTTGACTAGCGCCCTTGATCACTAATCCCCCCACATTCGAGACCAAACTCCGAGCCAGGAATGAACGTAACTATGATAAAATTATACATCAACCTGTATTTAATGTTCTATGAGTAATCCAGTCATTACAGACGGTATATATTGCCGAGAGTAAATCTAGCTTCACTTTATGAGTAGTCCAGTGTGCTATGAGCTACCTAGTAATTGTTTTGTATGAGTAGTCTAGTGACTACTGCTCCATACAATTCCAAATAATCATTATTCTATTATTAGTCTAGTGGAAACTGAGTATATATGATGTAAGTCAATATTTGACGAATCCATTTGATTGGCGAAAGTAGTGGGTCAGCGGCCAAACTTCTTGAGTTCCCAGTAGCGTAAAGGCGGGTACACTACCCCCAGAATTCCCATACACATCCACATGGCAATATCCCCACCGTACTCACCGCCAATGGCTTTGGCCACGGGACCCACCCAATAGGTCTGCGACATCCCTAGGACTACCCCCAGCACCCCGCAGAGGAAACTGATGGTAGCGGCAATGCCCTGAGTGAGCCGCAGCTTATCGTTCCACACCTTCCAGTTATAATGCTGGTGTAATCTGACATCACGAGTGGCGGCAAACTGTTTCTCTTTGTATGACCCCTGGTGCATTTCTTCAGTGGGGAACTCTTTAGTGAACAAGTGCTTGAAGTAGTCGGTACGGAAGATCTGGTTTTCTTCAAGCAACATGATGAAATACATCGAGATCCAGTACCCAATCATAGGAAGGAAATTACCCAAAATCGTCAGGAAGGCGTTACGCCCGACAAGAGCACACACAAGACACACGCCAAATACCCCGATCAGCCACATCCACCGCGGGATCCGGGCGAAAAACCGACCACCAAGCTGGAGACCAAATGCCGCCGAATAGGTGTTGATGATGTTATTAGAGATCAACGATAAGAAGATCAAAATGAGGAGGAACTTGCCGCCACCGCCCCACGGCTCAAACGCTGCCCAGAGCAAACCACCCATCCCGTATTTTTCGTAAGCCTCAGCCCAGGGAGGGTATTTCAAAGCACAGTTACCGATAAGCAAACCAGCGACACCGACAAACGTGGTGGGCACCCAGATCCCCAAAAGGGTAAGGAGGAATACCGTCATATCGGGCGTGTTTTCCGGGAATAAGACGTAATAGTCCAGAGCGATGGTACCCCAGGTGGCGGTGATTGAGTAGCAAAGGGAGAAAAACGAAAGCCAGTTGCCCTTGATCGTAGCGGGGTCATCCGCCACTTCGGGACTATCGTCATTACTCAAATAACGGTATTTCTGCAGCGACACAATGTATAAAGTGAGAAAGGCAACGTTGACGGGGATAGCAAAGAAAGCCTCTACCCGGATCAACTGTTTAATCCCACATACCAGCACAAGCAAAGACACCACCATAATGATGATAATCCCCACCACAAGCGGTACTTTCTCATTTGAGATCGACGCTAAGATCTGGCCACCCACCACGGAGTTAACCACCAGCCACCCCATCACCCCAATCACCCCGAAAAGGGAAACGATCTTAACCGTCCACCACCCAAAGAGGAATCTGGCACCCACCATTTGTCTGCACCCCAGCCGTGGGCCCATCATCAGACAGTAAGCAGCGATAAAGCACCCCACGGTGTGGCCAATAAGCCCCGGGATCACCGAGTTGCGAAGGCCCAAACCGAATAAAAGCGGGCCCAAAAAGAACAGCGACATCAGCGAAAGCCCACCGCAGGCCAGAAGCCAGAGGCCGACAACGGAAATAAGCTGTTTGCGTCGATTCAGTGCTCTTTCATAAGGAGGCAGTCTGTCGATGCCTCGAGTCTCGACACCAAGGGCATCGAGCCGCTTCAGCGCGAGCTTGGTGTAGTACCAGAACTTGCCTCCCACCAGGCTCAGCGAGCCCTGGGGGTGGTCATAGGAGTCGACCTCGACGACGTCCTCGTGGCCGGCGTCGTCGTCGTCTCTGAGTTTGCCCATGCGATGCTTGTCTGTGCCTACTTTCCCCGGATTCTGTGCGCGATATAATGGTGAGTGGGTGGGGGATGAGTCAGAGTCGGGGGGTTGACTCGGGGACAGCGGTAGCAGTACCGGAAACAGCCGAGGTCTACGGAGACTTCCGTCCCCGCAAATGTCCGACAAATTTTAGCAATATAGGCTTAACATCAGGTCAGTTTAGTCGCCGTTTTTTTCTTACTCGTAAGGGCGATGGCATCGTGCGGATGGTAGGGCTGACAATGGCTTTTGTGGTACTTGTAATTCGGCAACTGTTAGCGCGCCGTTAGCCGCTAGCACTAAACAGTCGTGCGCGCGGCACAACCAACTTCGAACGAGTCGAAAACAGCAGGTAACAACGAGGCAACACGAGGCAACAACGGGGCCACCCTGATGGAAGAAGAGATTAGAAATCATAAATGATAATTCTGATAAGACACTCCATCAGCGGATAATAGCGATGCCCTTTATAGGGGGATCATCAGGAGTAAATTTTGTGACTAGAGTTGTAAGCATGAGTGTATTGTTTTTCTTGATTGTTTATGATGATTGTGTCAGGTGTTGGTTATGATTGTGTCAGGTGGTCACTGTGATTGTTTCAGGTGATTTCATTGATTTAGTGGTAGGGGCGAGACGCGTCCTATAGATTGTCTAAAATCCCAACTAAGAGTTATGGTTGAATCTTAATTGCGATAAGCCAGCGCCACCAGTGCCCCTTAACCTGATTAATTATCTCGCTGGGACCTCCTCGCCGGGCGGGGGTGTTTACCCCACTATCCCGTGGTTGTATCTTTTGTTCGAAATTCGACGCCAGACGCGTCTGGAAAAAAAAACATCACACCCACCATGTATGCTAGGCGCTTAGAAATCGCCCGTGGGCGCCCCCACCGCGTCCAGCGCGATTGGGCGCCGCCTACACCACGACTCTAGCGCTCGCCACCGGTGCGCCCCTTTCATCGCTAGTTCCTGATGGTATCCCCTGCGCCGCTCCCCAACGCGATCCAGACCCCCTGGGGGGACAGTTCCAGTTTAAAGTTCTATTTTCACAGGCGCCTGAAAAAATAATCATAATAATCACCGGCACCCCGCTCGGTCTCGGCCCGGGCGTTACCCTAATTCGGGTATATTACGTACAACTGTGTGTGGGTGCGGTGCTACCAATCGCCCTTCAGGACGCGCTTTGGGCGCACTATACGCTCTCTTTTTTTTCTCGGTGACAGTGGAGGCCTAGCGCCCGCGCGATAACTGCGCTTCCCCCCGGATATGTTCCGGTTAACCTACGGGTGGATGTAGCGCCAGCAGCGGCGCCGCCCGATAGACCCCTCGACCCTAGGCCTAAAACGTAACCACCGCCGTATTTTAAGTCCCCAAAGTAATGCCTATAATGCCGACACTAGCCACTCAAAGCGCCCGCACCCGCCTGGCGTTCTTTCTAGGCCGAGCGCCCGCCTCGGGGGACAATAGGGAAACCTAACGGGAATTATCGCCATGCGCTAGTGAGCGCACGCCTCGCCAAATTGGCGGTCTAGAGGGGGGCGAGACAATGGGGCTGTTCCCTAATTGCAGAAGAGGCGAATGATACAGGTCACACCCATGGTCCCTTCGAGTAAATCGTGTAAGTAAAAGCAGGGAGGCGACACGTCGATAACCGAAGCGATTCGCGCCGATGGCGCCGCCGACACTTGTGCACGCGCCCTTTCTATGGGACATCAGACCACCCGATTAATCGCAGTCAAACAAGACTCACTCAAGTGAAAATTTGACAATAGTGGGAGTATCCATGCTCAGCGCTTTCTTAAGTGATCGTCGGTTTTTAGCTTTTTAGGCTCGGGGGGTTGTGGGGGTAGTTGACGGAGGTAGTAGTGGTTGAGGTCACGTGCTCCCCTGCAGGACGGGCGTTGTCAATAAAAAAAGTGCGCCAGGCCTCTCAACCTCACCAACGTTGTCTCCCCTCTGTGGCGCCCTCCAGACCAAATGAAGCGCAAGGACCCCAACCACGACGACGCGCGGGGGTTCACGCGGCTGCCGCAGCGGCACGACCACCGGGTGCTGCTGCTGCTGATTTTCAGCTTCCGCAAGCAGCGGGCGCCGCTGGCCTACGACGACGTGTCGCTGCTTGAGCTGGCGCTGGCGCTGGTGGAGCGCCCCCCGTCGTCGGCGTACTCGATCTACCCGCACGCGGCCCAGTTGCCCGGCCAGGCCCACCTGCGGCTGGCGCTGGCGTACCTGATCCTGACGGTGCCGCTGACGGCGCCGCTGCTGGTGCCGCTGGCGGTCGAGGTCGTCGCCAACCCCATGCACCACCACCCGGCGCTGGCAGCGCTGTTGAAAGCTAGCGCCACCAACCCCGCGGCGCCGCTGCCGATGCACCATCACCCGACCCCCGCCCAGCATAAGCGGCGTCACCAGTTCGGCACCACCAAATCCAACAATAAGCCGCCCCCACCAAAAATCCACCACCCGTCGCTCGCTCGCGACTTCCATTTGGAGAAGCCGCTGCTGGACGCCGAGATCGAACAGCGGTTCCGGCTCATCATGGAGAAACGCGATTTCAAACTGTTGCCGGAGCTGGCGAAGCAGGAGATGGCCAACTATAATATTGACAAGAAGTGGATGCTTATCTACCAGGACGCCTTAGCGGAGTACGCACGCACAGGGTCAGTGCCTCTACCCGCGACCGAGAACGCCGCCGCCCCGCAATTCTATACCCGGAAGCTTCTCGAGGCTTCCATTCTGGCCACCGATTTAAAGAACCTCTGGGTCAGTTTGCGTACTGAGCCCATCGAGTGGGTGCGGCGCTTCATCTACGACTACCAGGGCGATCTGCTTTTGCTGCAGTACTTGATCAAAGTGCACGATGAGATCTGCGCCCGCGAATGGCACTTAATCTCCGACGACTTGTTTGATCGCGAGTTCGAAACGTTGAAAGCGCTAAAGTGTATGATGAACCAGAAATTGGGCGCCGAGCGTGTGCGAACCGATGTTGGCCTCTACGTGAAAGCGATCCTGGGTCTGTTATTGCTGCCACGGATCATCACCCGCAGAATGGCAGCCGAACAGCTCACGTTCATGCTTGCCTACTACCTGGAAAACGGCGCCAACATCGATAAGTACCGCCGCATTCTCGCCGCCATCGACGCCATCCCGCAACTGCCGTGGTTCGATTTCGACCCGTCGCATAAAGGACGCGTCATCCGCCAACGAGGCCACCCCGACCAGTATAAGCGGTTTGAACTCTGGTTATCGGTAGTGGAGAAAACCGTTGATGGGAAAGGGACATTTGCTGGACTGACAGTGGGAGCTCTGGAAGAGTTTAAGCTCGCCAATAATGGCAGTGCCACGCTGGCATCGCCGGAAAACAACTTATACGAGTACTGCCTCGGCACCATGCTTTTGGTCAATACTATTGTCCACTTTGTCGTTGATTACCGCTCGAGAATCCACTTACGGGCTCAGTTTACTGCCGCCGGGATTGACCGGCTCATGCCCAAATTTGAACTGCTAGGCTACGATCAATTACGTCATCAAGTGGCTAACTACCGTGAGGCTCAGCGTAGCGACGCCCAGGAGCTTAAGGAAGCTGAACTGATCGATCAGGATTTGGATTTCAATAACCCGAAGGAGTTAATTGACCTGATGTGGAAATCCGTCGACGCTGAGGCTCAGGGGTACTTGCTCTCAGCATTACAGCACTTATACTTGACTCATACCTCAGGCAATAACTCTGATCAGCTGCGTACGCTTAGATTACTCGATGGCATTGTCCAGAACATGGGATCGCAACTGCTGGGCCACGACGACGCCGCGTTGGGGATCGCCATGAACCAGTTGATGGCGCTGATGCTGACGGACGACATGTACCAGAAGGCGATGAACGAAGCCCGGCAGTATAAGAAGATGGCTGAAGAAGCGACGGCCGAAAGAGACGATTTACTGAGACAATTGGGCCTTGGCGCCGAAGGGTTGATTGCCAACTTGAACAATGAAATCAGAGAGCAACAGGCAGTGATGATGCGTACTCGTCGTCTTAACGAAGAGCTTAATGAAGAGCTTGAAGAGTTGAAACGCAAGCATTTATTGGAAAAGCAGGAACAGGAGCTTGAGATGAGAGAGTTGTTGATCATGCTTGATAACGAGGCTGACGAGAAGAAGGATAACGACCGTTTGGTACGCAAACTTAAGGGCCAGATCCACCGTAAGCGCGCCGAATACAAGCTTGAGAACCGCCAGTTCGGCACCCAGGTGGAGCCGCTGCTGCGGCTTCGCAAGTTGCGTGACCAGATGGGCGATATCGAGAACATGGCCAGAGAGTTGGAAATGACCGATTTCGACGAAATGATGAAACCTCCGCCCATCGACGAAATCGAGGAAGTGGAAGACTTGCTGCTGCTGCTGTCGCTGTCGCTGTCAAGACTGCTGGCGTTAGAAGAGCTTTCCGAGGAGGTGATTGCCGATATCACTACCCCGCAACCACCTCCCGTGGCGAGAGAACCGACGCCTCCGCCTCGTCCTATCCGCACCGACGACCTCGAAAAGCTCGACAGCTTGCGCAAGAAGCTCGAGCTGTTGCAGCTGGAGCTGAACGACATCATGAAGTTCAACCACCTGGCGATGTTCTCCAAGCAGCGGTACATGGCGATCGAGCGGCTCCACGAGCTCGAGAACCTGTTCCGCGACTTCAATTTGGACTTCTCCACGCCCCAGGACGAACAGCAGGAGTTCTCGTTTGCTGAAAGCGTCGACCCCGTGGTGCGGCTGAAGATCCAGCACGAGTACGCCCAAATCGAGAAGATGAAGGAGGAGCTTAGACAGAAGCTTGCCGCGGCCGATGAAGCCAATACTAACGCTGCTCAAGCCGAACAGATGGCTCAAGACCGGTACATGGCGGCCATGGCTAAGCTTGAAGCGGCTCAGTTGATTGAAGACGAAGCGGAGAAGGCTCAAGCAGCATCGCAGCTGGCGCTTGCCAGATTGGAAGACCGTTATGGTCGGGGCAAGCGAGAACCCACGGAAGCGGAGAAGGCGAGAATGGTGGATATCCCCAAGGGAGCTAAGCGTTTGAACCGCCAAGCTACCGTCACTAATATGGACCCAGCATTCTTACAAGAACTCTCTCTGAAAGTGGGCCACTCGCCGGCAACGTCAGCGGCGTCGTCAGTGGCTCCTCTGCCTGCCATCCCTCAAACTGAGGCCAAGAAGGATGAGGTTAAGGAAGAAGCTAAGGAAGAACCAAAGAAGGAAGAAGCTAAGGACGAGGCTAAAGAGGAAGTTAAGGAGTCAGAAGCCAAGCCTGAC